TTGTGTTCACTTCACTATCCTCCATGTTCATTTTACTATTCTCTTGTGTTCACTTCATTATCCTCCATGTTCATTTTACTATTCTCTTGTGTTCACTTCACTATCCTCCATGTTCATTTTACTATTCTCGTGTTCACTTCACTATCCTCCAGGTTCATTTTACTATTCTCTTGTGTTCACTTCACTATCCTCCATGTTCATTTTACTATTCTCTTGTGTTCACTTCACTATCTTCCATGTTCATTCTACTATTCTCTTGTGTTCACTTCACTATCCTCCATGTTCATTTTACTATTCTCTTGTGTTCACTTCACTATCCTCCATGTTCATTTTACTATTCTCTTGTGTTCACTTCATATTCCTCCATGTTCTTTGACTATTCTCTTTTGTTCACTTTTACCTTCATTCATTTTACTATTCTCTTGTGTTCACTTCACTATCCTCCATGTTCATTTTACTATTCTCTTGTGTTCACTTCAATATCATCCATGTTCATTTAACTATTCTCTTGTGTTCACTTCATTATCCTCCATGTTCATTTTACTATTCTCTTGTGTTCGCTTCACTGTTCTCCATGTTCATTTTACTATTTTCTTGTGTTCACTTCACTATCCTCCATGTTCATTTTACTATTCTCTTGTGTTCACTTTACTATTCTCTTGTGTTCACTTCACTATCCTCCATGTTCATTTTACTATCCTCACTTCACTGTTCATTTAACTATTCTCTTGTGTTCACTACCTCCCTTGTTTCACTATCACTATTCTCCAATATTCTCTTGTGTTCACTTCACTATTACTATTCTACTTGTGTTCACTTCACTATCCTCCATGTTCACTTTACTATTCTCTTGTGTTCACTTCACTATCCTCCATGTTCATTTTACTATTCTCTTGTGTTCACTTCACTATCGTCCATTTTCATTTAACTATTCTCTTGTGTTCACTTCACTATCCTCCTTGTTCATTTTACTATTCTCTTGTGTTCACTTCACTATCCTCCATGTTTATTTTACTATTCTCTTGTGTTCACTTCACTATGCTCCATGTTCATTTTACTATTCTCTTGTGTTCACTTCACTATCCTCCATGTTCATTTTACTATTCTCTTGTGTTCACTTCACTATCCTCCATGTTCATTTTACTATTCTCTTGTGTTCACTTCATTATCCTCCATGTTCATTTTACTATTCTCTTGTGTTCACTTCACTATCCTCCATGTTCATTTTACTATTCTCTTGTGTTCACTTCACTATCATCCATGTTCATTTAACTATTCTCTTGTGTTCACTTCATTATCCTCCATGTTCATTTTACTATTCTCTTGTGTTCGCTTCACTGTTCTCCATGTTCATTTTACTATTTTCTTGTGTTCACTTCAGTATCCTCCATGTTCATTTTACTATTCTCTTGTATTCACTTTACTATCCTCCATATACATTTTACTATTCTCTTGTGTTCACTTCACTATCCTCCGTGTTCATTTTACTATTCTCTTGTGTTCACTTCACTATCATCCATTTTCATTTAACTATTCTCTTGTGTTCACTTCACTATCCTCCATGTTCATTTTACTATTCTCTTGTGTTCACTTCACTGTTCTCCATGTTCATTTTACTATTTTCTTGTGTTCACTTCACTATCCTCCATGTTCATTTTACTATTCTCTTGTGTTCACTTTACTATCCTCCATATACATTTTACTATTCTCTTGTGTTCACTTCACTATCATCCATGTTCATTTAACTATTCTCTTGTGTTCACTTCACTATCCTCCATATACATTTTACTATTCTCTTGTGTTCACTTCACTATCCTCCATATACATTTTACTATTTTCTTGTGTTCACTTTACTATCCTCCATGTTCATTTTACTATTCTCTTGTGTTCACTTTACCATGCTCTATGATCTTTTTACTACTCTCAACAGTGTTCACCGTACCATCCTCTGTTCCTTTTACTATTGTCTATGTTCACTTTGCTATCCTATATGATCACTTTACTATCCTCTATGTTTATTTTACTGTTCTAGATGTTCACTTTACTACTCTTTATGTTCATTTTAATGTTCTCGATGATCACTTTACTTTGCTCTGTTTTCACTGTATTAGTTTCCATATGTTAAAAATGAATGCATTCACGTGACAAATGGATTAACAGTTTACTACGCTACACACATACAGGTATGGAATGAGAAATCCCTCCTCCCTCCCTAGCATTTAGTTATTGCAGCAGTGTAGGAAACACAGTGACCTAGTCAATGAAGTGGCAGATACTAGGTCACTTCTGCTTCTTAGGTTCAAGGACAACGTGATGTGTCAGGCTGTGTTTGCTGACATCATTTATGCATGATTCTGACATGTGCATGTTACCTTATGGCACTGTGTAGAATATCGAGCATATACACACAGACTAAGGCATATGTTTTTTTTTTTTTATTACTATTCCCTTTCATCATATGCTGAGTTCAGGAAACAGAACTCTGCTAAATACATTGAGAAAAAAAAGATGAAGTCGTTTGTGCACATCATTAGAGTGTAGCTTCACTAGTTACTAGCAGACACTTTATCAATGAAGATCCGATATGAGAGAAAGAGGGTGCTAAAGAAAAATATGGACTGATAACAACAATGAGATTCAAATCAATATTTTTCCCCAGTGCAAATTTTAATTCAGCTGAACAGAAATTGTATGCTACTTTAAATATTAAGGTAACCTCTGTAGTAATCAGTGGTGAGGTGTGATCAGTCTGTTATGTGTAAGCCGCTTATGGAAAAATATTTTACGCAACAAACTTAGCACAGGGAGTTGTCACATGGGCCTTTCCTGCTTTATTATTTATCACTTATTACAGTAATTAAGATATTTTCCTATCAAATTTCCAGAACAGAATTACAGTGTGAGGATTAGCAAACACCCCTAAGCGTCCCTCAACCAAGGGTTATTGTAGGCTCAGGTGATACCCAGTGCATAAAATTTCCTGTCACCCTCCCCCCCCCCCCCCCCTCAAAAAAAAAAAACACACACACACACACAAACATACTAGCCCTCATTTGTTTATGTTAAAAAACATATTTTGCTATTTTGTCCCTCTTTTGTAATGAAAACCCCCAAACTTCCCTTCCTATACGTCTGCCAATACACCTCTCCCCCACCCTGTTTTTTCTCCATTTTTTCTTTAACTGACTGTCAGTCATAGTCCATAACAGACAGAATTCTGACACTAAAATTACAACACATTTAAGCACAGTTAATTAATTCATTAATTACACACTGCAAAATAAACATGAAACTCATAAGCATCTTCTGTTCGCCATTTGATAAAACTATATACTTTGAACAACGCAGTACAAACCCAGCACAAACCATGATTATTTAGAAAACTGCAGTGGAAAGTGCTAGCACAGTGGTTCTCAACCTTCCTAATGCTACGACCCTTTAATACATTTCCTCATGTTGTGGTGAGCCCCAAACATACAAATATTTTGGTTGCTACTTCATAACTTCATGGAGATTGTTCAACAGAAAATAAAAGGAGGATGGCCTTGGCAATGTAAAGATTGAACAGCCTTAAAAGTCTATGGTTAAGCACCAGCAAGGAGATAAAAATTTTAATTTTGAGAGCATGCATCTTCCCTGTAGCTACATAAGGATGTGAGTCGTGGACTGTCTCTCCGTCCTTAAGAAAGAGAATAGGGGCTTTTGAGCTGAAATGCTATAGAAAGATTCCCCGAATATATTGGACAAAAAAGAGGAGAAATATTGACATCTTAAAAGATCTGAACATCAAGGAAGATTGGCTAATAAACAGCATCTTTTCTCGGAAGCTGAAATATTTTGGTCATATCAAGCGCCACAACGGATTGGAAAAAACTATAGCAGAAGGCATGGTACCAGGAAGGAGGGGCAGGGGCCGACCGACACGAAGATGGGCACAGGATATAAGTGACTTCTTGAGTATGAAAGTATATGAGGCAGGAGAACTGGCGAGAGACCAAGTTTCTTTCAGTCAGACTGTGATGAGAGCGACGTTCTGCAAAGGACCTGCTAGATGATGATGATGATGATGACTTCATAACTTCAGTGAATATATGTTTCCGAGGGTCTTAGGTAATCCCCTGTGCTGCGTCTGAGAGGTCACAAACAATACAAGACGGTATAGGGTTACAGGCATCAACATTAGAGAGAAAACAAGACCATACCTGAAATACATTGAAAGTAGTGAAACAAGTGGTTTGACAATCTACTTGTAGTAAGAATGCAGACAGACCAAACTGTACACAAGACCTTCTACAGAATAATATTTAAGAAGACAGTGCCATGATGTTAATCTGTTGTTCAAACCTTCACATCTAACTTAATCTTTTTGCAAGTTTTAGCTATGTCATCTTTACAACTCCACTGTCTATCTGTAGTAACCCCCATATGTGCTCCGTTCTTCTTCTAACTCAAGTCTGAGTCCAAAGAAGCTCAGCACAGTGCACAGGCTCTGTAGCACCGGCGAGGATCCTGAAATACTTTGGGTAGATTTTAAACTCCAAATAATGCCCAAGCAGCGCCATTAAGCTACTCTTTTCGATTTCCAACTGCCAAGGGATTTTTTACGTGCGCAACAATGCACACGGGCGTCTGATCTGACTACCCAGAGACCAGGGGGAATTACTAGAAGTCCAAGTCCACACATAAAAATCCCAGCTCTTACCGGGGATTGAACTAGGAACCTCTCGCACTCGAGGCAGACACCATGCCTCGAGACCACACATTAAAAAAACCATCACTCAAGCCCCACAAGTAGTCCAAGACAAACACAGAAAACCATGATACTGGCTTACAAACCGATAACAATGTGAGCAGCAAAGGAAGAAAGAAGAGGAGAGAATGTTCATTCAAAGATAATGATACCTAATAGCCTGTTACACCCATGGAGTTCTGGACCAGTAAGAGATCCCTTCCCATGATGCTTCTGACAAAAATGGAAGATAACAATGATGATAACTAACCTTTACACTGAGGGTTGACACATCTTTGGGCAGAGTCCAAATATCGAATAAGACTAACAGGCAAATCTTCAGAGGTGTAGCGGACCTTCTCTATTTTAATCACTCGACCAGACAGCTCAAGTAAAGCTGGTGGATTGTACACAAGATCCTGATAAAGGGAAATAATTCAAGGTTAAGAAATTCTGGAATGAGAGTTACCAGCCATTCTGGTGCATGTACATATTATATACTTTGATGTCAGATGATGATGAAGTTTTCACTTAAATATTTTGCTCCCTGGGGAATCCGGACTTTTTTCAAATGTGACCTTGACTCCCAGGTCAACCCAGCCTTGAGTGGGTACCGGGTGCAGTCTCTGGAAAGTAAAGGCAGCCGGTGTGATGCTGACTACATCACCCATCTTGTGCTGATTGGTCTATAAAAATATAGGTCTAGCCCTATATACCTAAAGACGTGGAAAAGGTACCTTTACTTTCACTTAAATATTAGTTTTTGCTGTTTGTCTCTCTGACAGTTTCTTGGTCTGCCTAATCACCTGACTTTCCACCCAACTATGTTTGCTGAACTAACTACATGCATTAAAAAAATAAAGGACGAAGTCTGTCAAGCGGCTTAACAAAAATTTACTGAAAGAACAAAAAATGTTTATAGGAATATAAGTGAAAAAGTCACTAAGGTTTGAAAGCCAATGACATTTACTTCGCTGCACCATGTTTGATCTCATCTGACTTGGTCTCTCTCATACAAAAGAGGAACCTCGTTTCAGGTACAATCCCCACGAATCTCTGTAAAATCTACTCTTCATTAAAAAAAAAAAAAACGACAGTCCAAACAATTATTCTATAGCCTATGGCTCTTTCTTTGTCTGTCTGTCTGTCTCTCTCTATTATTAACACATCTATGAATAAAATGATGTATGAAACAAGGGTGAATGTAAGACAGGCCTCAGTGACCACTTCTTAACCTTGTTAGTTTGTTCATTTCCACCCTTTTCTCTCTCTCACTTGCTCTATGCAGAACAACTTGGCAACTACTGAAAGCATCACACAGAGCACAAACTCCATAGCTCCAGGTACAAAACCCATGGATCTCTGTAAAAACTGCACTTGTGAACCAAATGATGCAGTCCATAAAACAAATCCACGAATACCAGATGTATCTTCATTTCTTTCCTTTCCACCAGACTTTCGAATAATATTTTGCATTCATCCATATGTTTTCTTTCTTAACGTTTTCAGTCTCCAGAAAAAAAAAAAAAAAATCAATATGAAGTGTCAAGAATGTGTGTAAACAGTAAATTGCCTGAGAAAATGAGCGTATAGAAAAGAAACCCTAAGACAACACCAAACTGATAGGTGTGGCTACCTGATGTTATACTTCTATTTTTATTTTCTTCTTCTAACAAATATCAAGTGTTTTTGTTTTAGGCCCAAAAAAAAATTTGAAGAAAAATGATGAGGGAGACTAATAAACACTAGGAAGGGAAGGATAATGAGCATATGCCAGAGGATTAGAATTAGAAGGGAGAAAAGTACAGTTTCATAGCTTGTCCCAGAACTCTCTTCATACTTTGTGTATTCAACCAGGCATAACAAGAAGAAGAAAAGATAAGAAAATGAAGACCTGCTGATTTTTAAGAACTGACACCACACCAGGCACACCCATAGGTGCTCCGTCTCAAGCAGCAAATGTTTTATGGTTTAGATGCAAACTAAATAGGACAATAGCAACAAGTGGTAAGGGAACAGGTGGCAACTTTCTCACTGCATTTCTTTTTATCATTTCTAATCTTAACCTGGATGAACTTGTCAGTTTCTTAAGTGACCAGGGATTATTGAATGAGGAGGAAAGAGGCCATTCAATCTCTGAATATGAGATTATCAATATTTCAGAAAGTTGATAACAACAGGTATTCACACGGATAAAGTGTCAAATTTCTCAATTCATACAAAGCACCTAAATTTGTCATGTGCTTGGGATAACTGTGTTTTGTGGATGATGAAATATGGTATCAGTGGTTTTGTTACTCTGACTGCATACTGCTTTTCTGATTTACCCTCCCTTTCTCTCTCTCTCATACAAACCCTTTCTAATTGTTAGTTATCTCTTTTCAGCCACCTTCCTTTTTAGTTCAGCCGTCTCTCTCTCTCTCTCTCTCTCTCTCTCTCTCTCTCTCTCTCTCTCTCTCTCTCTCTCTCTCTCACTCAACTCACATATATTTTAGCTACAGTTTTATCATCCACATATAATGTGTGTTTTATAATCTAAACACCTGGACTATAATTTTGCAACCTCTAATGACCTTATTTCATGACTAAGTTATATATTATTCAACTGACTTCAGTTTTAAAAGGGTTTGCTCAAATTGAGTTTGCCTGAAAGGTGGTTATATCACAGCCAAGCTGCAAACCATAACACAATGTTTGAAATCCCTTTTTAAGGGCGAATGCAAAAGAACTTTGTCATTTTCATTTAAATATAATATATATAAATATATATATATATATATATATACACACACACATACATATATTTATTGCAGTTTGTAATTTTTGTGTGTGTGGATTTTTTCATTACCTGGTCTAAGGTCAAATGTACTTGTGCATCTGCTATTTTTTTGTAGGATGTCAATACAACTGTTTGTTTCACATCAGTCCATCCATCAGCTATTCAAGGCACAGACTACAATCTTGATCTGTGTAAACTCTTCTGTGTTCACCTGTCTGACTGGCATATTGTGTTGCAGTTTCCAGCGAGGCTGTGATATAAGCATTTTTTGGCCCAAAACATCTGATTTCAGCAAACAGCTAATTGGTCGCATTTTATTATCTGTTTATTAAGAGGATGTGGGTCTATTCTCTCCCCTATTCCCAAATGGGGCCACTCATATGAGAAATCTAAAATCATTTGACTATAATTAGAAGACATTATATCATTTCTTCAACTGACAGTCTATAATCTTATTCAACAGACCATAATAACCAGATATAATATAATATGCTCAACGGGCAATCTATTATCTCTGCAACAGAGTCCATTATCTATTAAACAGACAAACTATAACCAGACATACTGTAATCTTTAATGGGCAACTTATAATCTATTAAACATTATAACCAACAGACAGACTTTATTTAATCTATTAGCAAACACACTTTATTTCTTAAACAAACAGTCTATAATTATTAAAAAGACAGACTATAACTAACAAGCACACTGTAGTCTATACAACAAGCAGACTGCAATCTGTAACTAACAAGCACACTGTAATCTATAACAAGCACTCTGTAATCTATACAACAAGCAGACTTGAGAAATGTTAACCGCTCACCTGAACAAATCTGTTCACCAAAGGGTTGTTCCGCAAACTGAGTTCAACAAGGTTCAAAGCCACAATTTCAGTAGGTAAAGTGGAGAGTTTGTTGTTGTGCAGGCTGAGGCTACGCAGATTGCGAAGGTTCATGAGAGTTGGTGGCAGACTCTGAAGACGATTGTCACAAAGAACCAAAGAGGTCAATTCACTAAGGTAACCTACTTCTGCTGGAATCTCCACCAGTCGGTTTCCACCGAGATAGAGAACTTGCAGTCTGAAACAAAAGGAAATGGGGAGAGTTTTAATGACATCAAATGTCATTAAAGTCTTTTTCCATTCTTTATCCTCAAATGAACATAGGTCCTCAACCAACTCATACCAATACTTCCTATTCTGTGCTTTCATGTACAGTTCAGTATATGTTCTATTCATGTTCTCTCCATGTTCTTCTTCTGATTTTTATCTACCACTTGACTTTAGGCCCTCAACCCATTCATGACTAGTGGTTGATTCTTTTGCTATCTCATGTAGCTCACCCTATGTCACCTCCCATTTTTCCCCACTTCAATCTCTATTTCCCATGTGTTTTTGTATAAACTTTTTTCCTTTGATCCTGTGAGTCCCAGTGCAAGAACATTCTAGTTATATTGGTTATTATAGGGGTTTTTTCTTCTCTTTTACCTGATTAAATGGAATCTGTTTGATTCTCCTCTAAACTCCACGTTAGTGATTTTATCAAACCATTTAATTCCCTTAATTCTGCAAAGACACCAGTTAACGAACGTTTGTTGTTTATTAGTAAATATTTGGGCTTTCCCCATATTTCAGCTCCATACAGCAGTACATTTTAATTAAATATTTTAACTTTGGTACTAGTTTTAGTTTCCTTTGTTTTCTTCAGGATTTCCCACTGACATGAAAACTCTTTTTGCTTTTTTTATTTACATTTTTAAATCTGTACCGTTCCCCTGAAAAGCGGCTGGTCAAATGATTAGAACGCTGGAATCTCAAGCTGGAGAACCAGGTTCGAATCCTCGGTAAGGCTGGGGATATGTTTTTGTCGGGGGCAAAATAAAATCCTCACCTGCAGTTAGCCATGCAGTGAGACATCCTCAGGCTCAAAGCTCATTAGTTTGCCACAGCTCACTGAACAGTTGGCCTAACACCACTGCTGAAATCAACACAAGGCAGTCTGCTGCCAAATCACCTACAGCTGGGATCGAACCCGACACCACAGAATTATGAATCAGATTCATAAGTCTAAGATACTTTTTTTTTGGCCACCAACAAGACGTCTTTTCTAGAATGAAATCCTTTCTTTGTTTTTTGTTGTGGAATCAGAATCATATCCACCAAATTTAAGTATAGCATCTATATAAATAAAAAAGGCAACGTGTCCATTTGTGCATAATTGCTCATCTCCTAAAGTTCTTCACCGATTGCTTTAAAATTTTCACACAATGTTGCATTTGAATAGACACTTTTTTTAAATATAAGATTTTAACACAAAGCACATACTACGTAGCTCCAGTTATGATCACATCAGAATATTGGTGTTTTTATCGTGGCCAAGTTCCCTTAGAGGGTTTTATTTTAGCAAACTTTAACTGTTGACCTCAGATATCTGCATATAATAAATTGACTACTAGTTTTGACAGAATGTATGGAAATTTAACGACCATTTGTTGACAGAAGTTCAAATGGTTTGGTCGTTTTGTTAGAATTGCAGCCACAACAATTACAAACATATTCTCTACACCTAAAAATATCTGATGTAAAAGCAAGAGGGAACTGAAAGAAAAAATGAAATGATGACATTAAAGACATTATATATTCACATGGAATGATAATAGCCAATGCTAACTGGCAATGAGCACTGGACTGAAAACTGTTTGTTCCCATGTCACTTAACAGCAAAGGTGTAAGTTGCTGATGATGATAATGACAAAACAAAACAAAACAAACAAAAATCAATTTTTAGTTCTAGTCTTACAGTTAACAATGCTAATATAAAAGTGTGAGAAACCTTTATTAGAAAACAAAAATAAATAAAAAAGACTTGGAACCATTAAAAAAAAAAAAAAAGGCTGACAATAACAAATGAGGTAATAATATGAAGCCCAAAATGTAATTTGTGCAATCCTTGTATAATATTAATCATAGATATATGGGGGTCTGCCTGGTTAACTTATTAACTCATTTACTTGTGATCTGAAGGTGATGGGTTTGTTTCACAGACTGCATTGTTCAGTTCATGATTGCAATTGTTATTTAAATACATGAGTATCACAATGGGAACTATTTAGTTTGTGCTTTCTGTGGCACTCTCAGGTAGTTGGCTACTCTGTGGAGAAAGACCAAGTCAAAAGGATGACATTCTTTATGCACTTCTTCTTCTTCTTCGTGTTGGCCGGCTGTAAACTCCTGCTTTTGGATAGGCAGTGGGTCTATTCTTGTTCTCCCTATAATAGGGCCCCAGAACCCACACAGAGATTTATGCATTTATTGTGTGTGTATACATGACAAGGGCAGTTGTGGCCAAGGCCCTTTGGGAACAAGCAACGGAATCAGTAGAGAAACAATATTATTATGGCCTAGAGAAAATGAGGCACCTGGGTGTAACCAGAGGGTCTGGCCGGCTCACTACACTCAGAGGAAAAGCAAGACAGACATATAACCAGATTGTGACCAGTACCATCAGTATCAGAACTCTGTGCTGGCTGCTGAAGAGGAGGATGTAGGATGCATGGGAATGCCCAGAGTGATGTGATGTTAATTCTTGACTCAACTTAATGTGTGTGCATGCTATTGGCTTTGCTGCAATCAGTGTTTATTTTTCCACAAGGGATAGTAATGGACGTTCTCTGTGGTTTTCTTAAGCACAGGGGTGCAGCAACTATGGGGGGTGACCCGTTTGCCATAAAGTTTAAAATACAATTACCTGATTATGGATAAACCAAATGCAATAAAGTCAACTGCCTTGACTTCAAATTATAGATATGTTGATCACACAGCATTACAAGCAGAAAGTAAGCAAGTCAGGAGTGGGGCAAATAAATAAGCACATTACAGAACGTGGAATGACAATATTCAAAACACAAAAACTTTAACGATTAGGAAAGCAGATAAAGAACATCCTAGTATATGGGGAGACACTAAAACAAGTAAAACTGTTCTCTTTTCTTGGATATACAATAACAGATAATGGCAGAAGTAACTTACAAAATCAAAATGAGAACAGGAATGGCATAATTTTCAACAATATGAAAAATTATATAAAATTCTCAGAAATTAAAAAAAAATACTGTTATATGAACTGTCAACAGTTACTTATATTCAACAGTACTACATAACACAGGTGGTGTGGTGATTTTTGTCACAGGCAGGAGGTAACAACATCATTGCGCTGTGTATATAGAGGGCTACTTCATACCTTATCCGGGATGCCAGAATGGCTCTGTGCTGGTTTTATGGAACCTTGTGTAAGGTTCCATGTCGTGCGCTTTGGATACAGTCAATATCACCTTAAAGTGAGCTGGCAGGAAATCTCGTGGCACCTCCCCAGAGGTGAGGAGTCTAGAAGAAGAAAACTTATGGATGGACCTCCAATGCAAGGGTGAAAGTCCATCGAAAGAGACAGTAGGAAAATAAGTTCTCAAGTCCAATGGCCATGATACCTACCAAATGACTAATCTTGGTTCCAATGTCTGCTGATTTAGAATTCTAGTAAATGACAATGAGCTCCAGACATGAGGATATATAAGCAGAACAGGTCATATTTAAAACAAAAAAATAAAAAAATAAATTAAATAACAAGGGGAACAAATTAGAATAACGAGAGATGTTTGGACTAAAAAGAAGTTAACGAACGAAATCAAACCAAAGGCCCAGGTCAGGTAAAACACTTCAGATACATTAACTCCTTCGGTACCGAACAAAGCATCATGCATGACAGGGTGTTACCAATGTGTGCTAATCAATGTATTTTGTATCTCTGTACATTGTACGTTTAGTCGTAGCATAGACAATTACTCTGGCAATGTATTTCTTGTCTACAAGGAGTGTGTATTGCATCTTTGTGGAAGCAGTACACTCATAACTTTGATGTTTCATTACTGCCATATTTGTACACTCATAATTTTGATGTTTCATTACTGCCATATTTGTACACTCATAATTTTGATGTTTCATTACTGCCATATTTGTACACTCATAATTTTGATGTTTCATTACTGCCACATTTGGGCATCAGCTATGCTCTATCAGAACTGTAAGAGTTAACTCTCTGAGTCCCAGGGGGTTTAGCATCACAGGCCCAGGGAGGCAGTAAAGAAAGTAATAAAATCGGCGCATCATGAGTTCATTGGGATTCTAGGTACGAACCAATGACCGTATGATGCGTTCCTTGGGACTCAAGAAGAGTTACAAGATATGACACTCTTATATAAACCACACTGGAGGGGATGGAGATTAGGGGAGGTGAGAAGGCGGATTAATCTTAATAAAGTCCCTTAAAAACATACATATGGGTTTTTACAAAACTTTTCTTTTAATAATCATTTAAAGACACATATACCTGGGTGGGTTCTGGGTGACCTAGTTGGGAAAAGAGGGTTGGGGGGGGGGGGGGGGGTGAATTACTTACTGTCCCCCCAACAAACACGTCATAAAAGGTCACTAAATTATGTTGGGCAAATCGGTGCAGACAAGCTGCAAAAACAAAACACAACATGCTTATATCTTGAGAAGTTCTTTTTTAAAGTAGCCCACGTTTGAGTACAAACAAGTTAAAATAACAGCAATATGATAGAGGAGTAAAGTAACAATGACTGACTGACTGATTTCTACCCCACCAGGACATAACACAAGCGATAAACACCCGATGACCCAATGTGCCACCATATCAGTGAGGATCACCGTGGAGAGGTCCCAGAAACCGCCTTTAGGCCATATTTATGGCCAGGCTATATTGCGGCCCCTGGCAAAAGCCAGAGTAGGGCTTCATATAACGAAAAATTTCGTCCTAAAAAGAATGGGGGGGGGGGGGGGGGGGGCGTGTAAGAAAAGTAACAATTCGGATTAATGAGTTTTACAAAAGTAACAACTGCAGTGAAAGAAGAGTAAAAAATATGTCATGTATTTGCCATAACTATTGAAAGTATAATGGCTGCATGGTACCGAATGGGCAAATGAAATAGTATTTTTGATTAAAATCACTTGTAGACACAGGTGTGAATTTAAATGCTGATTGTTTTTTTTTTTTTTTTTTTGGTCATTTGAAAACATAGACATGTGATTTTAGAGAAAAATAGTCTAAACAAATTTAACTAGGCACTGGTCAATCAAAAAGAATAACTTAAAAACTAAATATAAAACATAAATAGCTGACTGTTAAAAGTAGTAGTCAAACAATTATTTTGTGGTCAACTCACACACAGAATTCAGAGGGGAAACAGTGATTGCATTTGGGCCACGTTATGAGAAGAGGGGGGAGCTGATGTGGTGAAGCAGCTAGATGCTTGCCTGCGAAGTGAAAGGTCATGGGTTTGGGTCCTGCCAAAGCCTGACTTTTTAAAAATAGAATGACCTTGGCTCCAAGCTCGACCCGGTCCTGAGTGGGTACTAGGTGAGGTTCCGTGAAGTAAAGGTGGCTGGTATGATCGACCACATCACCCACAAAGTGCCCACTTGTCTAGAAAATTTAGGTCTAGCATTGTATGCCAAATTTGCCTGAAAGTGTGGAAAAGGGCCCTTAAATTTAGTTTTTGCTTATATTTCCAGAGTATATATTTATGCTTGTCAATTACTTCTGGTCATTCAATATTGCTGAGATAATATATTAGTTGTAACAGATTGTAGGAGTATACACTGTTAAGTTTAATATTTTTTGGGTGTACTTTTTAAATTATTGTCATAATCACATTGTGCAGTCTATCTTTAGGAATATTTATAGTGATCTTGGATACTATTCTTCTGTTCTTTAATACACTGAGTGCTCATATGCAAATGTGTGTTCTTGTGAAGTACTGTTTAATCTTTCCCTGTAGTTTCCGAGAGCTAACGATTCCCAGCATGTTAAATATTGTTAAATAAATGTTGTTGACTCCCTTGTCAGGATGGAGCTACCATGGGGTAGAGGTCAGACACTTGCCTGCGGATCGGAAGATCCTGGGTTCAGGTCCTGACAGAGCCAAAAATGTTTTCAAAATTACCTTGGCTGCCTGGTCAGCTTAGTCTAACCTTTTCAGGTCCAAATTTTATTTGACCTGACTTGTTGCCAGGTCGGAATATTTTTTGGAAAAAAACATGCACAACTTACGTGGGCTACATTCGCTCTTGTAACAAGCAAGTAACAGAACATACCATATGTTTAATTCATTTTTATTGTGAAAAAGTGTTTGAAAAATGTAAAAAAAAAATTGCTGTTTATCTATATTGTGTCCAGAGTGTGGTACTTTTTGAAGCAATACGAGGATGTAGTCCAGGTTGACGCGAGCATGTTTCACAGAATAAACTGTCCTGTCGCCGTCTGACTAGGTGTTTTTCTGTCCTACACCATACTGCAAGGCAACGCCCTGCTTCTGTCTATCTTCTAATATGGCAATAAAATGAGGGTGCTTGTCAAGTCTTTCTTCTGCATCCAGGGGTTGAATGGGCGCCCCTCTTCGCCGAATAGGACCGAGAAGCTTCGGCTGTCTGAAACAAGCTACTGGCTCAGTTTTTTTTTTTTTTATTTGTATGTGGTTCAGTGCCTTGCCAGGTTGTGTCTCTTTATATAAAATTAAACTGTTTCACACCAGCTACTTCTAACAGCCAGAATAAAGTTTTTTCTACACTTGGAGAGATTTTTTCTAGTAAGGAAACAGCCGTTGCAAGTAACGATCAAAACGGTCGCAACAACCACCCATATTTTTTTGTTGTAGTCAAATAGTCAGAAGACAGAGGTGCAACTCATATCTAGCAGTGAATGGCAGGCTTGGATATGGCAGCTGTTTTGGTTGTGGCAGAACTATAATATGGCTCAAAAGCATAGTAAATAACCGGTGCGGCGGTCCTGCTAATGCAAACACTCGCAGAACCTTATTGGGAGGTTTCTGAGGATTGTACATTTGAATGCTGACCGTCCTTTGAAACTATATTGTGCATTCATCTGCAACAATATTTTTTGATGCGGAATAAACAATTGTAGATACCTCTCATTCATAATCAAGGGCCATGTCTTTCATTTTATTTCTCTTGTTAGACAGTCAGCTACCAGCACTTGTAGTTTTGATAGTGGTTTGCAAATGAAACTATCCAGTGAATTGGTTCAAACATTTTGTTTTGAAAATATGTTTCTGACAAAAGGCATATAATTTATCCATTCTCAGCTGAAACAAAATCTTTTACTCTTTCCCTTGTTCCTGCATTACCATTCTCAAAATGACTCCAAGATATGCTTGTTACTGGCAACAGTTGTAACATCTAGCCAAGTATGTCACAACAAGAACATGCTGCAAGGGTTTTATTTTGTATCTTCTCCGCTGTATGCCCGTTGTTAGTTAGTTTCCACGACTGTGTTTACTGTTTTCAATGATAGCAGGTGTAAAAAAAAAAAAACAGTTCAAAGAAACAAAAAACTGTTGTAGGAAAATTTCATTATTAGAAATCTGCGTTTGCACTGCAAATAAATTTATTTATGTCAGAAACACTTGATTTCACCCACTCATCACTGATTCACTCACTGCACTTTGATCAGCTGATGATTCAGATCGGAGATCGATCGACTGTCTTTATCACACTAAACTACTACTATCCTTATTCTCCTCTTCAGATGACAAATTATTACTTTAAATATGTAAATAATCACTGTCATTTGCATCTACATCGCTTTCCAAAGAAAAAAAATTGGAATCCTTTCCTCTAGATAAGAAATAACTTGATCTGCTGTCAAGCAGTATGTTTACTCGGACCTGCCATCCTTATTTTACTCCTAATTTTTAATTTTCATTTAAGAATCAAACGTTTCCTGTATGGCTTACACAGAAATTTACCTCAAAATTGTGGTCCAAAAACAAATGTCTCGCCAGGTAAGACTTACGAGCAAAAAACAACGGCTTGTTACTATCGTGTCTAACTGGGTAAGACATTCGGGCGGAACGGGAAAATCGCGATGTCTTGCCCAGTTGGACATACGACCTGTAAAGGCTAAAACGGATACCGGTAAAGTCCAGAGAAGTAAAGGTGGCCAGCGTGATGTTGATCACATCACCCACCAAGTGTTGATTGGTCTATAAAATATAGGGCTATCCTCCGAATAAGGGTCCCAAATTAGCGAGGCCGAAAATATATCCTAGCAGGGCATCACGAAGGAAAAAAGTAAAGGGAGCAGAAGCAACAACAATAACATGGAGGAAAGGGAGAATGGAAATACGCATATTTCCTGACACTTAAGTGTAGTACTGTTTGAGACAGGTGCTATAGAGAATCCCAAATCACTCACCTTAAATAATGATAAATCCCTGTGTGGTTTCAAGGGCCCTGTTATGGGGAAAACAAGAATAGACCCACTGCCTACCCAAAAAGCATGTTGTCAGAGTCTCCCTTCAAAGTCAGAGTGCATCTGCCTGAAAGGCAAGAAACCAACAGTCTGCATACAAATTAGTAAGATCTGTCAAATGGATGCACATGCAACACTCAAGTTCTGGAACAGGACTGCAGTCCAGAAGTGGACGAACAACCAGAACTTTTCGCCAGTTTACAGATGGTAAAAGTGAAGAAGAAGAAATAATGATAATGTACTTTACAATAATATTTGACGAAAATAAATCAATGTGTCCACCTCTCTTCCACCCCCACTACCACAAAGAAGATTTACCTTGTAAGAAGTCTGATGGTACTGGGCAACTCTGCTAAAAGATTGCCTCCACAGTGCAGCACCTGCAGTTTATCCAATTCCGTAAACTGAGGAGGAAAAGTTTCTATCTGGTTCCCGCTAACGTTCACAACCTCCAGTGACGACAAAGTCCCGAAATCTTTAGGAAAAGAATCACATCTCAGTTTGTTGTTTTTAGCAATTAGGGTCCGCAGCTTCGTTAGCTGACAAATCTCATCGCTGATAAAAGTCATGTTGTTTGCAGAAATATCCAGGACGATGAGTTTCTTAAACAGGCCTATGGTGCTGGGGAGGCTGATGATGTCGTTATTATCCAGCTGCAGAGAATACAGAGACGCGGATCTTTGTAAAATACACTCTGGAATTGTTGCTAAGTTTCCGTAAGACAAATCTTCCAGATGTTCCCTGGAATATTCCGTATCCGAAGCTGAAGAAGAATACGAACTAGACTCATAAAATGCAGCCATTGTGTTAGAAAACTTCTAAGTTTCACAACCTGGTGGAAACATACAGACAATTGAGGAGCAGAAGTTTCAGCGGAGACGGCACATCAACCTCGCTCAGGGAACCATAGTTGCGAGGTCAGGCAAAGGGGAGAAGAACACTCAGTTGTTATTATTTGTAGCCAGTTCGTGATTAGCCTGAAAGAGGAGCAAGGATAAGTACAACGAGCAGCCGCCTTTCATTGGTTAGGTCTCTGGCCCAGGTCGTATCCGAGCTTGAGAGCGAGGCTGGTCACTTGTCTGAACCAGGTCACGGCGTGATCGGCTGCTTCGTGGCCAACTCACCCTGGCCTTATCTGGGATTAAAAACACATTTTTTCGTGACATTAATGCCGGGAATTTTTTTTTAAAAATACCGTAAGGTGGATTTTTCAGCGATATTTGTGTATGTGTGTGGTTTAAATCTCCTTACTGTTTCAATTTCTTTTGGTGGGCTGGGAGCTTTGATAAGCCTTCCGTGGCGCCAGTGGCTGGAAGTTGTCACACCCCCAGCCACATAGGACACACCCCCGGTAGTTCATTTATTCCCTTTAATCAATTAACAAAAAGTGTATTGATCGGCACTCATAGAAAGAAGTAGATATTCCCGCACTTGGATGTAAGCTTGTTACGTCTAGGCTTGCTGTTTCTATCTGCTGAGTTATCTCTTCTTTTCCTTTTCGTTATACTGCTAACATACGGCGTAAGCAATACAGTGAATAAACAATATGCTTTGCCTTCTTTTTTCGCCATTAAAAAAGCTTTTGGCACGATGGGTTGCCGTTTACAGCTATGCTGCGATATCTGCGCCTTTAGGCACAGCACTTTTGATTTTAGCAAACCATAGTTATTCGCATTTTACGACATGCTTGTTATAGACAGTGGATCTATTATTCGTCCCCACAAAAAGGTCCCGTAACCCATACGAGGGAATAAAGATAAGAATAGTTGTAAGCTTACGGTTATTAACTCTTTCTTTTCCTGTTCGATATCTGTTAGTTTTCGGGATATTCAACACTCAATGAACTGATTTGTTGGACGACTAATTTAAGCAGGCGTTCTGTCGTTCTGTGGAGAGAGGCCAGTCTATATGGAATAACAGTCAGTGCAACGAATTAGATCTTTTCGATTTGTTCAGTTAACTATTTCTATTTATTCATGCTGGCTGTTTTGTTAGTATTCAGACTACTTGATAAAACGAATAAAGAATAATGTATGATGCAAGTGTTTAACTGTTTAGCAACAGGAAAATTAACATCGTTCCATAGCAACACCGCGCTAGGGAATGTGTGTACCTCCTTGTGCGTAGTGGGTCATTCATCCTTATCATCATCAAATGCCTTGACGACTGGCCTGCATGATTAACCATGAATGGATGGATGGAATACCCGAGGCCACGAATACCAGTATCTATGTTGCACATACCAAAGCTCGTGCCAGATGCCTCTACAAAACATGACGCTGAAAGGCAGAACAGGATCTAAACTCTACAACAAGGAAGAACAAAAGAAGGTTGCTACTGCTTTCTGCGCGGTCGGCGTTACACGCCATTGTCGGTCTGATGCCAGATCGTCCGCTGCACGACTGCGTCTGCTTTGAGTGTACGTGTACATGCATATGTATGTGTGTAAGCAAACACGTGTGCATGGAATTCTCGCATGCCCGTGTGCAGATGTGTATATATCTTGTGTGTGTGAATGCAAATGCGTGTGCGTGCAGCCCCCTCCCCTACAGCCCTGACTAGGTACTAGAGTACCGCTCTAAGCCACAACATAATTGGCACAAAGAAACAATACTGCAATTATAACCGACACAACTCGCAGTAGGTTGAACGTTGTCGTGTTTTCAGCGTAAATAAATGGAAAAATGGATGGATCGTCTGCAGTTAAACTAAACAGGCATTGTTACCCCCTAAGACACTTACATTATCTCCAGAACGGTGCTTAAAGGTAAAAAGTTAACTTCATTGCACTGGGTTTTATTCCATGTGGCTCGGTATTTTCCTTGGAGTGGCTTTTTATCGACTGAGAGCGTTACACAAAGCACAAAACCCCTTAGTTCCAGCGACGAGCACCAGAGAATTCGAAAGACGGAACCCGAAATGGAACTCACAACCTTGAGACCGTCAGGTAAACGGTCTAATCGTTTGGTTATGAAACGTTCTATTTTTTGTTTGTGTGTTTGTTAAAAGTATCGCTTCCCATGTCATTTTCTCTATCGTTATGTTTAGCCTACTTCCCAACACCCCGCTCCCCCCCCCCACCCCCCTTGTCTTTCTTTCTTCTCACTACATCTTTCTATTTAACCCCCCTCCTACCCTTTTTCCATCCCTTTCTCTCGGGTCTAGTATGTAATTGCGTCTGTTAATTTGCTACGGGGCTATGGCGCCCAAGAGGCAAGCTGTTACTTAATTATACAATATCAGTATTATTATTACTGAGTGCTGAATGGCATTGTGTATGTGTGTGAAATAATATGAAATATTTGAATAAATGCTTTAAAAGAAGACGTTTATAAGTGGGGACATGGGTCGAGGGGGGAGGGGGGGGGGGGATTGGTCTGCTTCCTAAAAATGTAAAGTTGGGGGGTCTCAGGATTACTGAGCACCCAGATTCCGGCGTGGTAATCACGAAAGTCACCCGATCTCATTCGGGCCGAAGATCTCGTCACCGTTCACACGGCTGTCCTATGTTCTTGAGGTGTTATGGGATTCCTTTTCTCCGTCTATACACAGTTAATCAAGTAACACTCATAGAAAGAAGTAGAAAGATAGAAGAACACACTACACAACATAAAAATAGAAAGCTAAAGTTACCGTATCGGGAATTGAACCTGTCACCTCCAGAGGGCGTGTGCGCCTCGCCATGGATACAAGTGCACTAAGAACATGGTCAACTAGGCACCGTGGCGAAAACTGGCTAGCGTTCATTCGACACATTATCTCGGGGAACGAAACTGCGCAGCTTTCTGTCGTTTCTCGAATGTGTTGTTGTTAGTAGCACGTGTACAAGGAAGAAGTACTGCAGGGGCAAGCGCCGAAGGTGCGACGGTTTGTGAGTATCCAATCATTGATGTTTTTGTATTGTTACCCTCACTGGCGGTGGCTGTCATCAGTAATGGATGTGCTTAAAAAGTTCAAAACTAGTTACACCTGACATCTTAAAATCATAGGACACCCCACAGGAATACGAAATCACGCAGCCGAACTTGTGGGGATGAGATTCGTGAGATGTACCTCTGGCGTTTAAGCATCACCCCCCCCCCCCATCCCCACCTTTCTCTATATTGCTGTCTCCTCTCTCTCTCTCCGTCTCCGCTCTGTCCGTTCTCTCTCTCTCTCTCTCCTCTCTCTCTCTCTCTCATCCCTCCTCCTCTCTCTCCACTCTCTTGCTCTCTTACTCTCGAACCCCCCCATCTTTTCTCTCCCTCTCCCTCCTCTCTCTCTCTCTCTCTCGCTCTCTCCCTCTCTCCCCTCTCTCTCCCTCTCCTCTCCTGCTCTCCTCCGTCCTCTCTCTCTCTCATCTCCTCTATCTCTATCTCTCAGCTCTCTCTCCTCTCTAGTTTTCCCAGAATAGTTTCAATGGAAAAATTATGTAAACTAAATGCACAGATGTTTTACCTTCCTTCACACAAAAAACACTTCCGAATAGCTCGAAAGTGTCATTTTCTTGGCTGTTAATCGCATCTTCTGTCAAATTTCGACAATCCAATATTGTTTTTCGCTAATGCAAACAGGAATAGGGAATCTTGAATACTGTCCAGCTGCTTGCTATGGTGTCCTGTCTCCATTACAGTATTATAAGAATGCCCTAGGTGATCCTACTTTCACAATTAACGTCCCACGAGCCCAGTTGTTTAGAACGTTTTATTTTAGGTCACCATGCCCCGCATTTTCTAATAAATCTTTATATTCGTGGCTGTTGGATAATCTCTTCCGGGTTATAGAAAAGCGGGAGAAGAATCATGCCTGTATCTTCGGTTCTGAGAAGATCGTCATATATCAATTTCTGGACTGCGTTTGTCGACACCTCACACCGCACCGCGGTCACCAATGCCGGCGAAACGGTCATTCCCATGGGCCCTAAAATACACCCTACTACGGTTTTCTAGGACACTTTCGCCCTCCGCCCTGCGATTTCTCATCCGAATGGTGACGTTTTGCACCATCGGGTGTTAATCGCTCAGTGTGCGGTCCTGGTGGGGGTTCAACTTCATTCATACAGGAGTGTTTAGCAGGTGAATGTATACAGGAGGAGAAAATGAAGAAAGAAGAGAAAGAAGAAGAAGAAGAAGAAGAAGAAGAAGAAGAAGAAGAAGAAGAAGAAGAAGAAGAAGAAGAAGAAAAGAAGAAGAAGAAGAAGAAAAAGAAGAAGAAGAAGAAGAAGAAGAAGAAGAAGAAAGAATACGAAGAAGAAAAAAAAAGGGGAGGGGGTGGGGAAGAAGTTTCACGAGATACCTGAGGTATATCGTCGCTTGAGCTACGGGTTTGAAGAAAAACAATCAACACAAATGCTGATAACAGTAGTCCTGAAATCCCAGACTATAACAGTGGAAGACTTCTTTGAGCGAGCGGGTCTGGCTAGTCACACTCGCCATGGCCACAGACTGTAAGTCACAAGTCTCCTCATAGCACGATATAACACTATCATCTGAACAACGAAAAGGTGCCAATTAGCCCAACAGAAAAAAATCCCAGTCGCACATAAAAGTCAAAAGCGGAAAGTGAGCATTTATACTGGACCCGATTGTTCTAACTTAAAGAAGTACTTTATCAGTATGTAGCAAGTCCTTTGGGGGACCACGATCGCATCACAACATGCCGGATTTGGTCCTCTGCAAACTTCCCAGGCCCCCTGAACTTTCCAGGCCAGGGTATAATTGACATCTTGTGTCGATATTTGGTCTTTTCGTCCTCTAGCTCTGCTTCCATCAACAGTATTCCTCCTCCTCTTCCTCCTCATCCCCAACAACTTTATCTCCCAGCTGTTTAATATTGCCCTAGGTCTTATGTATCTCAGCTTCTGGTTTTCTTCTTTTAAATCACCCCATCTCGGAGACTCCTAGATTTCGGGTGGAGTTCCCGTGAAAGTCAAAGTTGGGGGTTATGATTACTGTTAGCCGGTGTTAATTTCACACCCTAACACCCATATGCTGTCGGAGTTTCTCAGGAACTCTCCACGAAATCTCGGAAACCCCAAGATGGGGTGAATACAGATGAGAGGATCCAATCTACTTATGTGACTTGAAAATTGTGTGTCTGTTCTCGTGGTCCTCTATGGGCCTTCGTTTCTACAACTCTAAGCCCCCCCCCCCCCTTTCCGCCTTTCCCCCAGGTTACGTCGCCTGTGCTGGTAGTATGGGACGAGATGACATGTCTAGGAAAGACATCTGGCCCTTTACAAGTTATGAAAACCTGCGGGAAATCCCCTCTGTATAAACAGTAAACTATGTAGGCACACACGTTACCTTTGTGCTCTTGGCCACTCACACGTCACGTGTTCCGCAAGTGTTACTGTGTTCTTAGTAACCAGCATCCAGAACCATTGCGCGCGCGTGCGCGTGTGCGTGTACGTGGGTGTGAGTGAAAGAGAGAGTGTGTGTGTGTGTGTGTGTATGAGAGACAGAGAGAGGGAGGGAGAGCTGTTGTACTATATCCGCGTGACTGTGTGTATGTGTGTGTGTGAATATGTGTGAGGGTGTGCGAGTGTGTGTGAGTGTGCGTGTGTGTGTGTTTGTGTGTATGAGTGTGTGTATGTTTGTATGTGTGTATGTGTGTGTGAGTGTGTGTGGGGGTGTGTGTGTGTGAGTGTGCGTGTTTGTGTGTGTTTGTGTTTGAGTGTGTGTATGTTTGTGTGTGTGAGTGTGTGTGTGTGTGTGTTTGTATGCGTGTATGTGTGTGAGTGTATGTGTGTGTGAGTGTGTGTATGTTTGTATGTGTGTGAGTGTGTGTGAGTGTGTGTGAGTGTGTGTGCAGGGCCGTCTTAACGCATGGGTCCGCTGGATACTTGCTCAGGGGCCACATGAGCCTATGGGCCCAGTGCTAATCTGTGTATGTCAAGTTAGTTTACTTACGACTCTCCTGTGAAAAGAAATACCGCTAAACTTTGTTTTAGTGCGTCGATAGTGTTTTTATACTCTGCTGTCTAATGTATGTTTATGTTTTAACAATAGTTTTATTGAAGTGGCGATAAAATAAAAACATATTTAATGCTAGCTGTACCCGGCCACTCGTTGCTGTGGCTCAGTTTGACTAAATGAAAAAAAAAAAAAAAAAAACTAAAAGAAAATAGAAAGCGCACGTGTCTAATATGATTAATTTTAAATCATTGTCTGTGCAGATATAGAGACAGTCTGGTTTGTCGACTCTGGAACACGCAACAGATAATTGTGCCTTCATATTAGTGTTCGTTTAAACTTTATTATTAGCAATTTTAGGTTATAATTATGACCAGGGTAAGTGCGCCACGGGAGTCGCCGTGGCGCAGCGGCTAGACGCTCGCGTGCAGATCGGAAGGTCGTGGGTTCGCTTCTTAGCGAAGCCGGACCTTTTTCACAAATGCCTTTGACTCCCAGGTTGACCCATCCTTGAGTGGGTACCAAATGCAGTCCCGGGAAGTAAAGGCGACCGACGTGATGCTGACCCCCACATCACCTATCTTATGCCGATTGGTTTATAAAAGTATAGGTCTAGCCATATGCCCTATACGTCTAAAGGCGGGGAAAAAGGACCTTTCCTTTTTTTTCCTAGTGCGCCAAATAAAATGGCTTAGCATTGCTCGCCACCAAGAGTCCTGAAAAGGACATCTGCAGTGTTGATGCGATCAAGGAAGACAGACCCAAATACTGTTCCCACCGACGATGAAGTCGTCTACCGGCGAGCCAGTGGGTGAACAGGTTGCCGATGATACGCGGCTAACTATTTTTTTAATAGAACAATGGGTGATGGGGTCAAAGTCATACCGGCCACCTTTATTTCACATGGTACCCGTTTGAGGGCAGTCGTGGCTTAGGCATTGCGAGTCCGACTCGTAATTCCAATGTACCGCGATTAAAACCCACTGCTGGCTGCGTGAATTTGTATCAGCCTAAAATGGGTACTAGGATTTATGTCCTAGGGAAGTAAAGACGGCCGGCGTAATACTGACCACATTACCCACCTAGCGCCGATCGGTCTGTAATAATATGGGTACTCTTCTCATATGCCCGATGCGCCTAAAGGCGTGAAAAGGGATAATTACTTTACTAGTTTGAAGCTAGGTCGACCTGAGAGCCAAGGTAATGTTTGAAAAATTTCTAGCTTAACGGGGAGTTTCCCTTCGGATCTTCAGTCGCGCGCTATTGCAACATCAGTTTTTTAATATAGTTAGAGTGGTGCCGATAATTGTTTATCCATTCGTACTAGAGCGCGCATGCGTGCGCACATTCGTTCTCATACACACAACCCAAGTGAAAGAAACACGTATAACAATGATGTCAATCAATCAATCAGGTGCCGTCTCCACAGTGAAGATTCCCTGCAATGGATCTTCAACAGTCTCCATCTCTTGTCTTGGTTGTACACTCTTTCAGACTGCTATTCGTAAATCTCTTGATGTTGTCATCCCACTTGTATCGTTGAATACTTCTTGCTCCCTTGCCCTCGACCTTTCCCTTTAATATATTTAAAAGAGTACCATATCTTTAAATGTGGCTAAAATATTTCAATTGGCTCTTTATTATGTCTTTCAGGAACGCTTTCTTTCATTCGCATCGTAATCGTAATCGTGAAACCGAACACAAATGTCAAATTGTGTCCTCTTTCAATTGCCTGAAGGCCTGCTTTATTGAAGACGGTTCCTTTGCTATCTGATTGAATTCGTTTCTGTGTGTCGATTATTTTCGCCTAAGTTAGATTATTTGCTGCTGCATCATTGGAATCTCTCCAAAACCTCTGTATGTGCATTCCTCCAAATAACACGAGTATCGATACATTGTTTCGGTCAAACCGAGGTCTCAGTGCAAGCGATTTCCACAAACATCAACTGTTTGCTTTTCCTGGTCTTTGGGTATCAACATGACTTTTTTTTGGGGGGTTCCTAAATAAAAGATGCCGGTACTCATTTCTAAGTGTCCCAAACAGGTGCCAGTACCCACCACAAAGTGTCCGTTACAGAAGCGCTGGCAAAAATGATGCCTAGAAAAAAAAAGTGCCGGTACTGTGAACCACTGCTTACTGCCAGAAGGCGATGACAGGCAGGCTTGATGCAGAGTGCCTTGCTTCGCTTCAAAGGTCACGGGTTAGAGCATCGTCTGATTCTTTTCTCTGGGGTGTGCCGGTACCGGTGTGCTAGGAAATGAACAAGCTGACAGACTGGCTGGCTCTGCACAACTTTGTGAACTGATGCATGATAAAGTAGACGTGGTTATGGTCCTGTAGGAGAATGTGTACAATTCGGACGAGCAAATGGATCACCAATCTGGTGAGAGCGATGCAGCAGGGAATGGCGAGGGGATCAGGCCGATACTCGACGCTCAGAGGAAAGGCAAGACGGATTTATAGTCAAAATGCTACTGACACCATTGGTGTTGGAACTCTGCGCTAGCTGCTGAAGATAGGCATGGAGCGCTAATGAGAATGCCCCGAGTGCTGTGATGTCGGCTTATGAAACAACTCAACTGCCCGGGATATCCATAGTCTACTGAGAAGGTTTGTGTCGCTCTCTCTCTCTCTCTCTCTCTCTCTCTCTCTCTCTCTCTCTCTCTCTCTCTCTCTCTCTCTCTCTCTCTCATCGTCTGGTCAGTATTCTTTAACATGTACGACATGAAAGATGATCTCAGTAGCTGAGCTGCCGTCAGCGAAGTTCTTGGAGGGTCACTGACACGTACAACGCCGCACTGCCACATCAGGCAGGATGCTCATCAGAAGGGGCGAATATTCTATGCAGGGGGCTCCGGAGACCTGGGGGGCTAAGGCAGTGTAGAGCCCTCTTCCCATCTAAATGTTTATTATGACCTTGCAAACCCATTTTTTTTTCTTCCCTCCAGACAAATAGAAAACATACTTGGAAGTTCTTTTAAGTTTTTGTTTATTTGTAATCACAAATTATAATATTTAAAATATATTATTATATTTTTTGCCATTTATCACATCAATATTATTAGTAAGCACTTAATCAAGGCCTAGGTCCCAAGAAGAAGAAGAAGAAGAAGAAGAAGAAGAAGAAGAAGAAGAAGAAGAAAAACAACCTAATTTCCCATTCACAAATTCCTTGTATTAGCTTGACTGCAGTCACCCCCCATATTTTCCCCATATCTTCCCATTCACGCGTGCAGTAAATTATGCGCTAGAAAGGGCTTCGCTCTGTGATGCACCAAACCCAACAAGGAATAATGAACGCTCAAACTGCACATCGGCCATGTCAGATCTTAATCTGTAGAAGATCCAAACTATTAACTACTGCAACAAAAATGTCGTGATACCATGCAAATGTAAAAAATTCCGACATATAGGGAGCCCTAACTCGTAACTGCGTGAAATATTATGCAAGTGGTGTTTCACTGCAACATCCTTTACTGGTGAATAGTTTATTAATGTTCCTATTTTCAGATCTCATGGAAACAAACCATTGATGTCATAAATAACTAAGCGAAAATGTTCCCAAACAATATGGTTTCTGGAAACTGAACGAGCAGCCCGGTAAACTTAAAATTGGCAAAGAGAAAAAATCAAATTGCACACGACATGGATTGTCAAATGGCTAGAGATATTTTCCAGTGCGAGAAAGAGTTTGGTTATCCCTCCAATTTTCCAAATTTCCATTGGTGGAAGGTAAGATGTTTTTTTTCAATAATCAGTCGTTCAGTTGAAATGATGTGAATGAAAGAGAAACAATGAAAGTCTAACAAATGTTTCTCTTCTTCTTCACTTTCTCTATTACCGCTTTGGCTATCAGGGGAGATTTAAGGTTTTGCCTCTTGCTTTTACAGCTGGCTCAACCATATCCATATAAAATGTTGAATTAAGAATTTACACCACAGGACTCTGGACACTCCCATAACCGCTCAGTCCACAGGCAGCAAGCGACGAGTGCCTATTCCGATGGTACCAGGAACTATGTAATTGTACATCCGTCTCGCTTTTCCCGTGAGTGTTAAGCGTCGGCCAGATCCCCTGGTAACTCCTCGCAGCGCCCCTCCCCTCAGACCGTTATGATCTATTTGCGCCTACGCACTGTTCACTCGCTCCTAAAGAGCCATCACAACATCTAGCTGGTCATACATCAGTTTGCCACCAAGTGGTGCAGAATCGACCAATCTATCTGCCTGCTCGTTTCCCAAAACACCAACATGACATGAAGAAAATATCCAAAGGACACTAACTACCTGTGACCTCTAAAGCGATGCTTGCCATTGCGCAAGGAGCATGATGGTCTCCACCTTTCTCACCATACTCTGTGGGTCAATTACAGTTACGACATACATGTACAGCTGATTCTCAAGCAAAATGCGCACTGTACTGTTGAAGCGTTTCTCTGTTCTTTCCATATGGTTCTTGGTGTACCTCGTGCTCTTCGTCCAACTCCTGTTTTGATAAATGCCTTTACGGCAATGGTGTCACTAGACATTTTCTTTAAGTGAGTAGGTAAAGTAAAATGTTAAGGACCCTTTTCCATGCCTTTAGGCGTATAGGGCATATAGGGCTAGACCTATATTTTGTAGACCAGTCGGCACAAGATGGGTGATGTGAACAGCATCACGTTGGCCAACTTTACTTCCCAGGGACTACATCCGGTATCCATTCAAGGCTATGTCGACCTGAGAGCCAAGGTCATTTTTGAAAAAAGTCCCGCTTCGCCAGGGAGTTAACCCACGATCTTCCGATCCGCAGGCGAGCGTCTAGATTCTCTGCCACGACGACTCCTCTCTAAATGAGTAAACCATTTTATTTGTTGACTTTGTATGTAATTCAGAATTAGTTCTGCACCGACTTTTTCCCCTCGTGATCTCATTCCTAATTATGTCTCTTCTAGCCACTCTTGTAGCCCTTCTCATACATTTAATTTCCGTGGCTACTCATTTTCTTTTCTGGGTAATTGCGAGTGACAATGACTGGCACTGGTAGAATAAAGTGGGAATGAACATGCTTTGTGTGAGATGTTTCTCTGCGCTCATTCAGATTGTCTGGTGTTGTAAAAATACACAAATTTGCCCGTTTTCTTTGTTTGCTGTATGTAATTCTTCTTCTTCTTCTTCTTCTTCTTCTTCTTCTTCTTCTTCTTCTTCTTCTTCTTCTTCTTCTTCTTCTTCTTCTTCTTCTTCTTCTTCTCTCCTTCTTCTTCTTCTCTTCTTCTTCTTCTTCTTCTTCTTCTTCTTCTTCTTCTTCTTCTTCTTCTTCTTCTTCTTCTTCTTCTTCTTTTTCTTCCTCTTCTTCTTCCTCGCCCTCCTCATCCGCTTCTTATTTCCGCTTACACTGAAAAGAATGGTTGGTGTTATTGTTTACAGCTAGGCTGCAATATCTGCGCCTTTCGACCCAACAATCTGATTTAAGCACTACTAATTATTCGCTCCGGTTAGCGGGGTAGGGGTATCCCCTATCAAAGGAGAAGTAAGACGTCTCCTTTCCTCCGCTAGTCTACGGGACACCCTTGGGCAAGGTGGAGTACCCGTTTAACCCCCCAATCAGGGTTACGTGAAGCCATGGAAGCAGGTTGTGGATGGAGTGTAAGAGCAGTCGACAGGTATTGTTGGTTATGGTCTGCACTCTGCGGCGATAGGCAGATGATCTCATCAGTAGAGACAATGGCTATGGCCACCGACTATTATAGTCACTGCTCAGGAGGAAAGCAACGGCAAACTACCTTCTGCAAATTTTGCCAAGAATCCATAACAATCATGAAAGAAAACATAACACAGAAGAGATCTGGTGGCGAGACCCCCAGGCCAGGCAGATCAGATAACACTGGGAAGAGTGTGATACAGGGGTCAGTACTAGTAATCGTGATGACGGAGTTTAATCCTGACTGTGTTACCAAGGAAATCCACTGTGTCAGACTAAGAAACAGAATGCGAATAGGAACGTGGAATGTGAGAAGTCTGTATGAAGGAAAGCTTAAAGTAGTAGTATGTGATGAGATTGAAAGATTAAATATTCAGATCTTAGGAATTTGTGAACATCGTTGGAGTGGCAAGGGACATTTTATCAATGAATATGGAAGCTTTTTCGTATATTCTGGTAGAGATGTAAGAGGCCAGAGCGGAGTGGCATTTGTTTAGATAAAACAACAGCAAAAGCTATTATGGGATATAATCCAGTTAGTGATAGAATCCTATCAGACTTAAAGGCCGTCCCAAAAAACATAACTTTCATGCAGGTATATGCACCAACTTCAACAGCAGAGGAGGGCGAAATTGAAGATTTTTATGCCATACTGCAAGACACATTAAATAAAATTAATCAGAATGATATAATAATAATAATGGGAGATTTTAATGCTAAGTAGGTACAGGCAGAGCTGAAAATGAGAGACACGTTTTAGGAAAATTTGGATTGGGTAATAGAAATGAAACAGGAGAAAAATTGATTGAATTTGCATAGAAAATGAATTAACAATAGCTAACACACTTTATAAACAACACCCTAGAAGGCTTTTCACATGGACATCCCCTGACGGTGTTACCAAAAATCAGATAGATTACATTTTAATACAAAGAAGATGGAGATCGAGCATAACATCTGCAAAAAACCCTGCGAAGTGCAGATTGCGATACAGATCATCAGTTACTAGAAGCAGATCTGAAATTAAAACTCAAAAAAGCTTACCCGAGGACCAAGGCCATTTCGATTTGATCTCACAAAAATACAGATGCATACAACGTAGAAGTGAAGAACCGTTTTGAGGTCTTGATGTCTGTACAAGAGGAAATGACACCTGATGAACTGGCGGTACAAGCTAGGGATATCTTGATAACAGCAGCTAAAGACTTAATACCCACCAGGACTAAGCAACATAAACCATGGATCACACCATACACGTTAGAACTAATAAAACAACGAAGGGAACTGAAAAAGAAAGGAGAAACCAATGACAGTAGGATGAAGTATAAATTTTTAACACGAGAAAAGAAGAAAGTACACAAGAAAAGGATAAAAATCAGTATGTACAAGATTGCTGTATTAAAATAGAGCAGCATCATAAAAATGGAAGAGATTACGAAATGTTCAAGGAAATGAAGTTATTGACAAGAAATTTTCAACCTCAGTTAAATGTTATTTGTGACAGGTTGGAAATACTTTAACAGAATCTAGACAAATTCTAGGAAGATGGCAGGAATACTGCAGCGGAATGTATGATATGAATGACAGTGAGGATATGAATGATATACATGAACCAGTAACAGTAGAGGCAGAACCTGAACCTTCATTAGATGAAATTTCATGGGCAATAAGGAGCCTGAAAAATGGTAAATCACCTGGATGTGATGAGATACCAGCTGAATTGATTAAAGCGGGAGGAGAAGAAAAATCTATCATGCATTATGTGAAAAGATATGGAAATATGGTATTTGGCCAAAAGACTGGAAGAGAACTATCTTCATTCCAATACCAAAAAAAGGTGACCTGAAATTATGTACAAACTATCGAACTATTGCCCTGATCAGTCATGCAAGTAAAATTCTACTAAAAATTATAATGAGAAGACTGCATAAGAAAATGGAAGAAGAGATTAATGTAGCTCAGGCTGGATTTAGACAGGGAAGAGGAACAAGAGATCATATATTCAAAATGCGTTTTAATAATAGAGAAGTGTAGAGAATTTAATGTAAATCTGTTCTTATGTTTTGTGGATTATTCAAAAGCATTTGACTGTGTACAACATCAGAAGCTTTGGGAAATCATGAGGAATATGGGCTTTCCATCACATATAGTGCAGCTCATTAAAATGCTCTATCAAGACCAACAAGCAGCAGTCAGAATAGATGGAGAGACATCAGACTGGTTTGGCATCAAGCAAGGAGTCCGTCAGGGATGTGTGCTGTCACCGTATTTGTTCAACCTGTACGCCGAAAATATAATGAGAAATGTAAGAGATGATATAAACAAGGAAACAATATGATGCCCTAAACATCGGTGGTCATGAAATACCAGAAATTCGTTATGCTGATGATACAGTATTACTATCAAATCATCACAAAATGGTTTAGAAAACTTATTAACCTCACTCCAAAGAAATAGTGAAAATCATAACTTATTTCTTAACATAGCAAAAACAAAGATAATGCATACAAACAAAACTGCCATGGAGAAGGAAATATATGTTAATGAGGAAAGATTGGAAGTGGTGGAAAATTTCGAATATCTTGGGTCACTGGTTACCAACAATGGTGACACAATGAAAGAAATTAAACGGCGACTATCAATTGCTCTTCAAAGACTAAAACAACTGAATAAATTATGGAATTGTACAGATAGAATTACAAAGGTCAGATTTTTAAGAGCATGCATCTTTTCCATTGCTACATACGCCTGTGAGACCTGGACACTTACTAAACAAGCGGAACAGCGCATAAATGCATTTGAATATAAATGTTACAGACAGGTTCTAAGAATATCTTGGGTAAAGAAAAGAACAAATGCATCCATACTTCAAGAGCTGAATATTGAAGAGGGTTGGCTAGTAAAGACAATAAAACAAAGAAAATTGAAATATTTTGGTCACTTGAAACGTCATGGAAGTCTAGAGAGAACAATAATGGAGGGGTATATGCCTGGGAAGAGAGGAAGAGGAAGGCCAAGGAGAAGATGGGTGCAGGATGTGGCAGATGATCTCCAGATGGGTGTATCAGACGCAGGACATCTTGCTCAGGATAGGAAGGTTTTCCGGAGGGTTGTTATGGCTGCGAGGTTCCGCGAGGGACATGCTACTGAATGAATGAATTATTCGCTATATAAGACATTCTTGTTATCGGGTAATGGGTCCTTTCTGTTCTATCTCGACATGGGGTTGCTGAAACGACACAGAGAGTATCACCGGTCCACAAATCACATCAACGTCAATTGTTTGTCTACTGTGACTAGCCCGATAAAGTTAAAATTTATTGTATGTTTTCCATTTTTTTTCCTTTACACCTGTAACACCTTTTTTTTTTAATTCAGTAAAGTCTAAGTTAACGGAGGTGGCATTGTAGTTAGCGTGCTAATCCGCCTAGAGGGAGGGCAGGATTCGATTACCCATAAGTAGCATGATATTTTCCCCTGACCTATACGACCATGGAAGCAGTATCAAATTCATCATTGTCAGTCAACAGGTCCTTTACAGAACGTCGCTCTCGTCACGGCACGCCTTGGAGTCTTTCTTTCTCTAGTCAGTTCTCCAATTGTGTGTGCTTTTTTAGCCAATGCATCTTTGATGTCTTCTACCCACCTTCGCGAAGGCCAGTCACTTCACAACCTAAAGGCAATATCTCTTACAAGACTACCTTTAGTTTCTAAGCGGTTGGTACCATCCGAACTGGCACTCTTTTGTCATCATCATCATCATCATCATTAAGCACTCCAGAATATTACGGTTCTTTGAGACCCCCTCCCTCGAGTGTTTTTGTCCCCCCCCCCCCCCCCCCCCCCAAAAAAAAAGCTCAACATTAGTGATTCATACCAATAAATCCCCCACTCACTAAAAGATGTTAAATTCAGCGAAACAGGTAAATGGCCTGGGTCGAAAAACAAGTGTTGATATCTCTAAGGCAGTCACGGCGCACGAAGATCAGGTTCGTTTTCGTGTCAGGGCATGCGGGTGTGCAGAGAAATGAGCAAGACGATAAGCTTGTAGACACGGTTACTGTGAAGTGCGGACAAGCCATGTACCAGACTGATATACTAAATGATCTACGTGAGAAAGATGTTTTTGAGAACCAAGTGAGAGCTAAATCCGCCACCATGGCCTGAGTGCAAGAACAAGTTAAAAGGGGTGTAGTCAAAAAAGAGCACTATGCATAAAACCTACCATTGGCTGGCTGGTAGACGACTTCATCGTCGATCGGGGCAGTATTTGGGTCTGTCTCGCTCGATCGCATCAATACTACAAGAGTCCTTTTCAGGGCGACTTGATGCCGAGCAAAGTTAGGCCATTTTATATGGGCAGATAACCTAGTTACAATTATAACCTAAAGCTCTCCCTTCGGGGATGCTGGTTGAACGTGGCGATTTTTCTTTTAAAGCAAAGCAACAGAACGGAACCAGAGTAATAAAACAATACAGAACTGGGGTCGTTTGCAGTCATACGCTTTGGGTTTTACTGAGGAGATCTGAATGGTTCAATGTGCAGTTAGGATGAAATGTCGGCTAGCCAAATAACTTAGTGAATTGTCAATAAATAGTCCCCAGATAAAAGAAAAGTCGCTACTATCGTCAGGGATGAGATTCCCGTCCCAGAATTACCGAATCGGTACCCTTACCGCTACTCCTCCGCGGGCCCATGCTCCGTGGGGAGAACTCAGAAGGAGTGGGATATGTACCGTTGTTTCCGTGAGTATCACTTTTGTGTGGGTCAGCTGGTGTTGTCCTTTCATTTACTTGTTTGTATAGCAAAAGTAAAAGTACGCTCTTAGGCGTAATGGGCATATAGGGCTAGACCTATATTTTTATTAGACCAATCGGCACTTGGTGAATGATGTGGTCAACATCACGCCGACCGGCTTTACTTCCCAGGACTGCACCTGGTACCCACTTAAAGCTGGATAGACCTGTGAGTCAAGGTCATTTTTGACAAAAGTTCGGCTCTGTCAGGACGCGAACCCACGACCTTCCGATCTGCAGGCCGGCGTCTAACCGCCAACGCCACCGCGACTCCCACTTTTTGTGCAGTTTACGAAAGGTCAGCAACAACGCACTGACAGTCACGAATACTGTCATAAGCAAGAAGACTGGAACAAGGCCGTGCTTGAATTACACAGAAAGTCATAGAACGGAGTGATTTTGTCATCTAGTAAGAATGCAGTCAGAGCAAACTGTGTATGAGATTTTCGGTTAGGTTTAAGTTAGTCTCCCCAAACACAGTAGGTCACGTCTCATTCATAAGTTTGTTGGGATGGTCTACTTTCTGCAGGTTACGGGTGTGCCGCTCTGTTGTTTGCTTTCTGGGTTGTCTTGCGTTTACGTTTTTTTTCCGAGCAAGAGAATGCCTGTGACATAGGTTGCAGCACTCTTTAGTGGAGTTGTGTTAAACAAAGTTTGTCCATGTTTTTGGAGTGTTGAAAGCGCTGGCCTGCTGAAATATGTAACACGCGATATCAACGGCATGGCGGAAAACCCCCGTAACCTTGTGCCAAGGCACGTGGCTCAAGATCTATCAATCAGAAGTGAGCTAGTGTGTATGAACTGAACTGAATTTCTACCCCACCAGGACATCACACAAGCGATAAACACCCGATGACACAAAGTGCCACCATGTGGATGAGGATCGCCGTGGAGAGGTCCCAGAAACCGCGTTCAGACATTTGGCCATATATATGGCCTGCCTATATTGCGGCCCCTGGCAAAAGCCAGAGTAGGACTTCAAATGACAAAAAATTTCGTCCTAAAAAGGACGAAATTGGATAAGACAATAAAACAGCTAGTGTGTATATGGGCGGGATGTGGCAATCGAAACATCACTTTTACCCACCGCCCAATTATAGTCCTGGAGTAAAGCCTTGGCTAGAGTTTCCGTAACGAAATTGTAAAAACGTTTGCAAGAAGATCGTGGATTCGTTTTACGGCTGGGTCGTTCGGTTCACACAATTTTTATGCAGAAACCTCGGCATTGTAGAAGCTACAGTTCGTGCGCTGTGCGACACTTTCGACGGACGGATAGCCGTTCTGCGGAGCGAGGCCGAGCTATAGGGGATACAACCGGACGCAACGTAGGCGATCCTCTCGACTTTAAAAGTTAACAAGTAGGACGAAAAAAAAAAAAAAAAAGAAGAGGAGGAGGAGGAGCGTCATTTTCTGCGCCAGCGACAAACTTTGTGGCGACAAAAGAAGAAGACGAAGAGTCTTATTTTGTGCGACAGTGACAAACTTTGTGACGACAAAAGAAGAAGAGATTTATTTTGTAGAGGGCCGGCTGCCTTTATGAAAGCTATCAAGCAGTTCAAATCTCCCTGTGTACCATCTAGCTTTGTCTCATTGCGTGTTTGAAAAGGCCACATTGCTTCTCCGTTAGCAGCATACAGTTGACATTGTTGGAGCACATGTGCAGCATTTTCTGGTGCCACGCTTCAGGGACATGTCTCCGTGTTTCCTACAACAGAGAACGTGAATATACTGGCGAAGTCCATTGTGTCCTGTAAGGTGTAGGCACACACTGTCCCTCTTCAGTTAGACAACGAGGCGAGCGGTCGGCAGAACATCTGATGTGGGTATTCATCAACATTTCTCGGATACTAGACTGTTGTCATGTTTTAGTCCTTTGGTGGGTACCATCACTATTTGATCGCACAGTCTACTGCCCCTTGTCTAGATTCGACTGACTGACTTTCTACCCCACCAGGACATCACACAAGCGATAAACACCCGATGACACAATGTGCCACCATGTGGGTGAGCATCACCGTGGAGAGGTCCCAGAAAACGCGTTCAGCCTTTAGGCCATATTTATGGCCAGACTATATTGCGGTCCCTGGCAAGAGCCAGAGTAGGGCTTCAAATAACGAAAAATTTCATCCTAAAAAAGGACGATAATTTTTTTTTAACATTGTTTAGATTCATGCTAAAGCGACGATGATGCCCTAATTATGTTTCAGTGGATAGCAAGCCAAGAACCAAGCGCAGGGAAAGATTTGATGTCATGGATATCGTACAGATTGAGGGCTATGAAACTGTAAGCACCTGTGTGTTTTATTGCAATCTTTCTTGCATTTAGGCAATGCATTGGTGGGTTCTGTAGCTTAGAGGTTAGTTACAGCGATCCACAATCTTAGATTGTTCGATTTCCGCCGTGGACGGGCTATATACACTTTTCTCATGGCATTCAAGTAGAGCAACAAGAGCTGCATCGTGGTAGAGATTGGGGAATCACCATGTAATATCCCCCATTTTCTCATAAAATGGGGCCTGGGAAAACACACGGGCAGGTTAGGTTTTAATGTTACAGTGTAGATAAGTGTCTCGACAGATTTAAGACTGGCCAGGCACTACACAAATGAAGGATGGGGGTGGTCATTATTTAGGAAGCAACCATCTGATATGGCGAAAATATTTCAGTTTCTGAGCCAGTTGTCTCGATGAGCGGATCTTTATCAATGTCAGTATTGTGACTCTTCTTGGTTGAAATTATTATTGGTCCCTAATTATAAGTCTGAGATGTATGGTAGTCTTAGTTTCAGCTTCAAAGCAAACAGGTCACCCCATCGTTGCTCCTCTCCTGTGTCAACGAAAAACACACAGAATGTTTATTAAAGTCCCTTGTGGAAAGATTGACAGACTGCTGTCTCAGCATATCTAGCATACACACGCATTAAAAGCATACGGTAGCCATCCGAAGTGCTAACACAAACAGTCCGACATTAGAAATGCAGTTCATCATTGGTAAACGACATACACGCACAGGCACACACACTCACACACCTACTTGGACAAAACCTTATAAAACAGCAGTTCTCACCCTTTCACATGGGTCGCCAAAGACCATCAAAAAACACATATTCATTTAAGTTAGGAAGGATAATAATTGTTTGGAGGTAGCCACAACATGAAGGAGCTGTATTAAAGGGTGGCGGCATTAGGAAGGTTTTAGAATATCAAGTCATGCCCTTGTGGGATGCAATTTTTCGTTTTTAAAGCCCTACTCAGGGGCCGCAATATAGCCCCGTCATAAATATGGCCTAATGGCTGAACGCGGTTTCTGGGACCTCTCCACGGGTGATCCTTATACATATGGTGGCACTTTGTGTCATCGGGTGTTTATCGCTTGTGTGATGAAATGGTGGGGTAACAGAAGATGGAAAGGGGGAAGAAGGAAGGTCGAGAGCCACTGTTATAAAACGAAACAGATGCAGTTGTATAATTGCCAATTTCGCTTGCGTCATTCGAGTTGTTTTAATTTATGTTTGCTTCTGTTTCTTAACTTTATTTTTGCCAGACAACCATGACAGAATCGTTAAGACCATTCCGCTCAAAGCGCCATCCGACGGAATTCCGGTCCACAAAAATTCCCACTGGACTCAACGTAAATATCTTGTTGCTGTTCTCCTCGTTGTTCCTTTTCTGTGGTTTCAGCGACATAACCGGTGTCATCTTGTTGTAGCATTGGTAGTTAGCAGTGATAGTTGTGGCAAGGAAGAGGAGGAGGAAGGTAAGGAAAAGGAGACGGTAACGATGACAAAGAAGAGGAGGAGGAAGAAAAAGGAGAAGAAGGAGGAGGAGAAGAAGAAGAAATAGAAGAATAAGAAGAGAAGAAGAGAAGAAATAGAAGAAGAAGAAGAAAAAAAAGAAAAAAAGAAGAAGAAGCAGAAGAAGAAGAAGAAGAAGAAGAAGAAGAAGAAGAAGAAGAAGAAGAAGAAGAAGAAGAAGAAGAAGAAGAAGAAGAAGAAGAAGAAGAAGAAGAAGAAGAAGAAGAAGAAGAAGAAGAAGAAGAAAAAAAAAGAAGAAGAAGAAAAAAAGAAGAAGAAGAAGAAGAAGAAGAAGAAGAAGAAGAAGAAGAAGAAGAAGAAGAAGAAGAAGAAGAAGAAGAAGAAGAAGAAGAAGAAGAAGAAGAAGAAGAAGAAGAAGAAGACAAAGAAGAAGAAGAAGAAGAAGACAAAGAAGAAGAAGAAGAAAAGAAGAAGAAGAAGAAGAAGAAGAAGAAGAAGAAGAAGAAGAAGAAGAAGAAGAAGAAGAAGAAGAAGAAGAAGAAGAAGAAGAAGAAGAAGAAGAAGAATCGGGGAGGGGAGAAGAAAAATAAGCAGGACGAGTAGAAAGAAGAGGAGGAAGTGAAAGAGGAGGAGAAGAAGGAGAAGATGATAATGACAAGAAGAAGAATGTCCACAATAGGAAGATGCGATTTTATTTCTTTAGAGTCCTGTTTCATACATATTTCCTTTCAAACTGATTCAGGTATCGAGGGAGTTTCATAAATTAAGAGATATAATATTTGAAACAAACGAACGCCACCCCCTCCCACAATCCCCCATGCAAACTCTCTCTCATACATACTTTTACACAGTTTCACACAATACCTGGAGTGCCAATCTAAAGTTTTCTAATTTACTTTTGGGTCAAATACATACAGAATATAAAATTACACTTCCAAACGTTCTTGTGTGGTTTTTTTTTTCCTAATTAAAAACTTGTGCACCAGTTGAAAATGTTATTTTTTTTTTTGTCCATGTAAATCTATACTATTATTAAACACAAGTATATTTATTTTTCAGGAGCCTTTGTTTGTTCCGTTTAAAGGGCATTCGGAATTTGATCAGTACGTGATCGATACTCTCTATCCCGGCTGGAAACAGGATCCCTTGTATAGAAGGTATGCGGGTGTTAATTCTCAAGACCTTCTTCTTCTTCTTCTCCTTCTTCTTCTTCTTCTTCTTCTTCTTCTTCTTCTTCTTCTTCTTCTTCTTCTTCTTCTTCTTGTCATTTTCTGCCCGTTGTTTCCGAATGGAGAATAGGCCCTCGACTGACTCACGCCAAGTCGTTCTGTCCTTTGCCGGATAAGAAGAGAAGTGTTCTTCCTGTATATATATATATATATATATATATATATATATATATATATATATATATATATATATATATATATATATATGTGTGTGTGTGTGTGTGCGTGCGTGCGTGCGTGCGTGCGTGCGTGCGTGCGTGCGTGCGTGCGTGCGTGCGTGCGTGCGTGCGTGCGTGCGTGTGTGTGTGTGTGTGTGTGTGTGTGTGTGTGTGTGTGGGGGGGGGGTGTGTCCCCCCCCCCCCCAATTTCCAATTCCAGTTGTTCAACAAAAATTCCAAATTTGATCCTTTTTCAGCTGCCCGGAGGCCTGCTATGTGAAGCAAGGTTCCTTGGCTGTCTTATTTGGTTTTCTGTTATTGGTGGTGTGTAGTCACACCTGATATTCCTGTTCTTCGTCTTCCTAAGTGCGGTGTGGTGCTTGGGGTTTTTGGGTCTGGTCCAGTTCACTTGGTATCAGTAGCTGTGGGCTTTAGCTGATTGTTGCTGGTGCTTGGTTTACCTCGTGCAGATCGCTGCGCTGGTGTTCTATTGCTGCTTGGTAGCCGTTCTGTAAAGCCGCCCGGAAAAAAAAGCCAAGCAAACACCAGGTCACAACGTCGTGTGTATGTATATATAATGTATACCGTATTTACGCGTGTATAGACAGCACTCAAGTTTCTGAGACTATAATTTTTGGACAATGTTAATTTTTTGACAATTTTGTCGAGAGACCAAAACCGAAATAGTAGCACCCTTAAGCGGTGAAAGATAGGCAGTGTAAAAGCAAGTTACCGTTGTAAACCTAACCGGCAGTGAAAGGAGAAAGCGAACAGCTGGGAGAAAGTTCGATATGGATGAGAAAAATGTGCGAAAATGGATTGGAATGATGTACTCGAATTTAAAGAAGCTGTTAAAGAAACATTTTAAAGTTGACAATCTTTTGGTGGCAAGAAGGCGAAATATCGAGAAATAGAAACTGCAGCCAAACAATTTCTTGAGGCGTCAGAGATGTGGTTTTACAGAACAATGCTTAAAATACCATGGACAGCCAAAAAAAACAACCAAGAGGTTTTGAAAGTTGCGGGAGCCCGAAGACAACTATTCACAGACATCAGGAGACAATCATCATTTTTCGGCCATGTTATGAGAAGAGGGAAAATGGAACATGTGGTGACCACTGGAAAGATCTGTGGAAGTAGGGATAGAGGAAAACAACGAAAGAAGATTCTTGACAGTCTTGTTGCATGGAATGGATGCGTGTCAATTCACGAACTAATGCATGCTGCAGGAGATCGCAGATTGTGGCGAGGCATATTTGCCCACGCCAGTCGGCAAGGCACCTGATGATGATGATAAACTATTCGTATTCGTGTTCGTATTCGGCCGAATAGTTGGTCCCGCAATTCGTATTCGTATAGTGAAAATCACTATTCGGTACAGCCCTAGTAGTTAAGTTATACGTCGGGGTGTATTCTCGCTAGGATGGCAGGTCGCTACAAGTGATGTGTTGGTCTGGTGGCATATTGAAGCTTAACGTACATATTAAATATGTTTCGGTTTTTGCCATTGTTGAGGTAATCTAGCTGAACGTATAGTGTCATTATCATATTTCCTTGTTAGCTGGAAATGATTAGCACTTTAGATTCTGCGTCTGGTCGAGCACGTTGATTGTTGTTAATGTTGTTATTTGTGGTCCACGCTGACTTTATGTTAAGTGAAATAAACAGATGTTCAATGTTGTAATCATAGTTCTAGTTGTTTTCTGTTCAGATTAGGACTTGTGGTTAGTGTGTATTTATTGTTTCTTGGCTGATCTAGACTGTACAAGAAGATCTCTTGTCTGGGCTAGAATATTTCTGTTTTTAGTCTCCGCCTAACGAACACTCTTTTTCTTTATTTTTTCTTGGTACTTAGGGCTTTTCCGTTCTAGTACACTAAGATTGCCCAGACAAAATCAGTTCTTGCCAAGCAGCAAACATTATGGAGATCAAAAAACATTTCATTCAGAACTGAGACTCGATTGCTCAGATAGCTATTATTATATTTAAATTTGGCTGTGAAACGTGAACTTTAACAGCTGAACTCGATAGAGAGATACAAACATTGGAAACACGATGTTTTAGAAAAATTCTTGAGATATCATACAGAGACCACATTACAAACGAAGAAGTTCGCCACATAATTATACAGCACATTGGCAACTATGAATCTCTTTTAACAACAGTGAAAAGACGAAAAATGCAATGGTATGAACATGTAATAAGATCTAACGGCCTCTCAAAAACAATACTGCACAACTCAGTAGAGGGAAAGAGGAGAAGAGGCAGACCAAGAAAGACCTGGTTACAGAACCTGACTGTCTGGACAGGCCTCAGGCATGCAACCATCAAATCCCTCGTAACTGACCGCCAAAGGTGGAGACAGCTGATCAGATAGTCAACAGAAACTGGTGACACAAAGACACGCAGTTACAGGATGATGATGACGATAGGGAGCCGACCGTAGGGTCGGCAATGGCAAACTACTGAATGTAAATTTTCCAAGAAAAACCACAACACAAAATGCTGTATTTTGCACCATTGTAAAAAAAAAAAAATACGCAATTAACTTTTGTTGTTGTTGTTAATCCTCAGGAGGATCGTCTTCCGCATGGATTTCTTAAAACAACACGGCAAGTGAAACGGAACGTTCCTGGTGTTTTCATTTGTCTGCGGTGGCGTTCCCTTTCTAGAGATGACAATGACGTGTTTTCTAGCGGGAAATCCCCATGCGTCGTCAACTGTGAGCTGCGTAATCTTTATATGACGTTGTAGGCGATTTTACATTCTGTAGTCGAGACACTTGCTTCCTGAAAAGTGTCTCCCTATCACTGGCGACACCAGCGCAACGTGGTCTGCTGCCAGATCGCCTGCAACTAGAACTAAGCCAGGTATCTCGCAATTAGGAAGCACGTTTGCAACTTCCAAGCCACGGAACGCGGACAGATGGTCAACTACACGCAATAAATTCACTTGTTCCATCCGTTTCTCCTGTGATCGTTATTTGATCCGTGCTTAGTTAATGTATATTTTGGAAAGCTATGGTCTGAAGGGTTTCCAGGACAATGAAAATGTTTGTGTAATAAGTAAACACGGTGACACGGATAGATTGGTAGATAGACAAAGTGGATTAAATAGACTGCAATAGAATAATCAGATGTACCAACACGATGAGCAGAGAAGACATGACAGATAGACAGGCAGATAGATAGACAGACAGTCACAGACAGACAAGTAGATAGATAGATAGATAGATAGATAGATAGATAGATAGATAGATAGATAGATAGATAGATAGATAGATAGATAGATAGATAGATAGATAGATAGATAGATATAGATATATAGATAGATAGATAGATAGATAGATAGATAGATAGATAGATAGATAGATAGATAGATAGATAGATAGATAGATAGATAGATAGATAGATAGATAGATAGATAGATAGATAGATAGATAGATAGATAGATAGATAGATAGATAGATAGATAGATAGATAGATAGATAGATAGATAGATAGATAGATAGATAGATAGATAGATAGATAGATAGATCGATCGATCGATGGATAGATAGATCGATGGATGGATGGATGAATGGATAGATAGATAGATAGATAGATAGATAGATAGATAGATAGATGGATGGATGGACAGTCAGATAAGTAGGCAGGCAGAGAGAGAGAGAGAGAGAGAGAGAGAGAGAGAGAGATAGAGAGAGAGAGAGAGAGAGAGAGAGAGAGAGAGTTGAAAATACAAGCTCCACAGGCGAAGCACAAGCACAACCCATGATCAAGAAAGGAATTAGAAGAGGTAATGGCAAGTACGTCGGCGTCAGTGGCTTGGTTTTACAGTGGTATCGAGAAGCCTACCGTCCAAAAAGCAATGGCAAACTACTGAACGTAAACTTGCCTAGAAAAACCACAAACAGCCAACAAATGCTGGGGTTGGTTCTGCAACATCCTGTAAAGGATACGCAACTAACTAATGGGAAGTACACATCTCTACTTAACGTCATTCGTTATTACACACTCCTCCTGTGTTACACCCTCGAAACGATTGTGCCACACTGGCATGAGCGCAACGACTAAATGATGCCCAGTAAGGTAGACGGACACGCAAACCGTGTCCAGCCGTATGCCAATCAAGGCTAAGGATCTGATCTGCCCCGCCATAACACGATAAGCCCTAGGTGTTTCTTTAGCTGAAACCGTTGGCACAATTCAGGCTGTCAGGTTTGGTATAAGCCACCCGGCATTGGCAATAACACAGAACAGGTAGTACCTACTACTGTTAAACATACAGTAGCCGGGTCATGTCTGACCATGATTTGATTGATTTGATTCAAGAGCCGACATCACAGCATTCCCATAAGCGCTCCATCCCCATCTTCAGCAGCCAGCGAAGAGTTCCGATACTAATGGTGCCAGTAGCATTCTGATTAAACGTTCGTCTTGCCTTTCCTCTGAGCCTGGCAAGACGAACGTTTGAGAGAGTTAACAGAGAACAGGTAGTACCTACTTCTGTTAAACATACAGTAGCCCAGTCATATCTGACCAGTTAACAGAGAACAGGTAGTACCTACTTCTGTTAAACATACAGTAGCCCAGTCATATCTGACCAGTTAACAGAGAACAGGTAGTACCTACTTCTGTTAAACATACAGTAGCCCAGTCATATCTGACCAGTTAACAGAGAACAGGTAGTACCTACTTCTGTTAAACATACAGTAGCCCAGTCATATCTGACCAGTTAACAGAGAACAGGTAGTACCTACTTCTGTTAAAC